CCATTTTTTAACCCTGATAATTCAAATTCATTACTTAATGCAAAAAATTGAATTACTCAAGATTGCCTTGAATTTCACCCTCTTCCCACTTATCTTTTATTAAGCCTCTATGTTCAGCCTCTTTTCATTTTTCTTCTTTCAGTGGACGAAATCTCTTTGAAATGGTGGCAGGGCAGTTGCCGCATTTCCCAATTTCAGACATGTCTTCAGCAAAAAAAAAAATATGAAGGCGGTTGGATTCAAATGGGTCCAGCGGATATGTTGTTGAACAGAGCGAAAGCTTCAAGTTTGCTTAGTGAACTTTGCCCCCTTTACTATAAAGTTAGGTTACCCGAGTTTCCGAAAAAAAAAAAATTTATCAATTGGGATCGCTTGTGTAACATGGACGGCCCTACCTCGAGCAATCGACTTGACACAGTCGACTAATCCGATTTTTAAATATCAACAGTCGAGTCCAGGACAATAGCAAATTATTACGTCACGCGAACATCTGCGTGATCATATATAAAGAAACAAATCTAGCGCATGAAAGATTTGCCTTTCGAGTTTGTAAAGATCAGCTATCTTAAAAACCTTCTTACAATGGTAAACTTTTGATTTGGTTAAAATTTTTAATTTTCCAAGCCTTCACAAGAGCCATTTATTATTTGGCGAATCCTTAATTTTTTTTCTTTTTGTTTGTTTTTTTTATACATGTTTTCGTTATTTTAATGCGCCTATTGTAAAAAAGATTATGTGGTTTTCTTTTTAATGTAGAACTCTTCTCAAGAACAAAAAGTCAATAAAGAAAACCTAAAGTATAGCCAGAACCAGTAAGCTTAAGTACTATCGATTAATTGAATTATCACAACATTGAAATATTTTTGCGACTGTCTATATTAGACGAACTGTTCCTAGTACATTATCATTATCTATGAATGATTTTAAAATTGGGCGACAGATCGGCAAGGGTAAATATGGTCGCGTATATCTGGCGATTTATAAGGCAAGTGGGTATATCGTCGCACTGAAAATTCTGTTAAAACAAGAGTTGCAACATGAGAAACTCTTGAAGCAATTGGAACGAGAGGTTGAAATTCAAGGCAATCTTGAGTAATTCAATTTTTTGCATTAAGTAATGAATTTGAATTATCAGGGTTAAAAAATGG